CTCTCTCTCTCTCTCTCTCTCTCTCTCTCTCTCTCTCTCTCTCTCTCTCTCTCCCCCTTTCTCTCTTTCAAAAGTCTTTGGAGTAAAGGGCCAGAAGGAATATAGTATCACCCTCTTGCCCACAGCTGAAGACTTAGAGTCCACTGAAGCCTCCATCACCAGTCAGTGAGAAGCAATGTGTTCTGTAGCAGGGCCATGTGGATTGCAGATCACGTGTACATGGCAGCAGGAGGTAGGGGCTCAGGAAGGCACCTATCACCCTCAGTAGATAATGGCATGGCAGTTAACTAAGCTTTTATTGGCCATTTATATATCCCAGGCACAAGGCTTGGTGTTATACATTTTTTATTTAATCCTCCCAGTCTCCAAGGAGGTCTCAGTTTTCTAAGAAGGAAAATACAGGTGAGAGTTTCAAGCCATTGACCCCAGTTAACATAGGTGGCTATCGACAGGGCCACGAGTAACTCCCCGACCACCTGACCCACAGCTGTGTGCTGACTTCATCAATGGCAGCAAATGTCAAAATTCCCAGATGAAAGAGTCACATCAAAATTTGTCCTATTATATTAATTATAACATAGAGTGGTGATCTGCAAAATATATTCTGCATGGTGTTAATTTCCTGGGATGTCCAGTGTTGTGAGAATAATAGGTTCTTTGGGCGATAAAGTTTGAGAAGCGCTTTCGGATAGGCGTCCATAGAGATCCATGGCACAGGAACTACGAGGGCCAGAAGAGTCTTCACAGGTTAGCCAGCCTCTCACAGTGAGTCTGGGCTAATTTCAGAACATCGAGCAAGCCATGGGGAACCTAGCTTGTCTGCCAGGTACTGATTAAAAGCCAATCAGCATTGATTAACCATCAGAAAAGAGGAATATAGAAAGGCTCAGTGAATGTTCTCCTAATTTCTCAATATTAATAATAGTGTGTCCTTTAGTGATTGTTGATCACTCTTCGCTTTGCACATGAAATACTAAGTCCTGGAGAAGTTGGTTAATAATGCAACTTTCCTTAAGGCCATACAGCTCCTTAACCCCAGGGCTCAACATGAACCTAGTTCTCTCTAACAGCACAGCTTGTGATTTGAAACTCTGTCACAAAGCATTCCAGATCTTAGGGTTTGTCATGGACTCTTCTCTGTGAATATCCAAATCAAATCCAATCTCAAACAGGGTGATTCAATGTGCTCCCTAAGTTGGGGGCTTACATTGCCATCCTGCCTTTATTTTCAGCATATTTTTTCACCTAAAAAACAGCTATCTGGGGGCTGGGGATTTAGCTCAGCGGCACAGCATCTGCCTGGCAAACACAACGTCGTGAGTTCAATTCCCGGTACCGGAAAAAAAAAAACACCAAAACAAAAAACAGCTATCTGGTCTGAGCAGGGTGCATGGAATTTTTTCTAGTATGATTTAGGTTTTCAATTTTCATTACTATTTTTTTTTAATCCCACACATTTTCACACTCTGTGACACACTCTTTTTTAATGTTTTTGATTTTGTTGGTGGTGAAATAACATCCACCTGCACAGACATTTACTCAACTTGACGGGCGCCCTTCCTGAGGCCAGTCTGCCACCATGAACTGCTTTGAAGTCTTTGATGAAGTCAACAGTCACCCCAAGTTTCGAATGTTTCCAGTACTGGCATCAGACCTCGCCTCATTTCTCAATGCCGTCTTTTCTTTCCAATAGATGTGGGAGCATTTTTCGAAGAGGGGATGTGGCTGCGTTATAACTTCCAGGCACCCACAGCCAATGCCAAAGACGCAGGCAACAGAGCAGAGAACTCTCTGGAACAGCAGCACTCCACCCCGGACCTGGCCCAGGAGCAAATCCACTTCAGTTTCAGCACCACCAAGGCTCCCTGCATCCTTCTTTACATCAGTTCTCTCACCACAGACTTCCTGGCTGTGCTCGTCAAACCCTCCGGTAAGGACAGGCGTGACTCACCCTCTGCCATTTTAACAGGGGGCAGACAGAGTGTTCTAGTAAGAGTCTAGACTGTTCTTGGTTTGTTCTTTATTCCCCAAGGGATATTGAACAAGTCATCTAACTTCTTTGAACCTCATTTTTCTGTGTGGAAGTCAAGAAAACAATATGTCGAGTGCTTTCTAGCAATGTGTTTCAGTGATGTTGGTGAGGCACGTTAGGTTCTTTTCAAGAATCTTATTACATAAAGATGAGATTGTTTCATGTGTAAAAAGATTTTTTTATTCCTATCAAATACATACCTTCACTACCGTGTTGAACACAAGGTGAGCTTTGAAGTAGTAAAATGAATGTTATATAAATCAATGAATTATCCTAATTTACGACAATATCACCAGGTCTGGGATCTTATCCAGGTTCTTGATGTCCTAAACAAAGAAATGAGCAGGACACCCAAGAGAAAGAGTAGGACCAGTGATTTATTTGAAAAAGAAAAGACAAGATACACTCCACAGGCGGGAGTGGGCCAGTGAGAAGAGCTTGATGTTTTAAGCCTTAAGGTTTGAGGGGAGATGGAGGGCCTGGTCTGAGTAATAAGGAGATTGACTCAGCCCTTTCACCAAATGGTGGAGTTTTTTACTTTTTATGGCACTTACAGGAGCTGTCACAGAGTCCAAGCCCATGGGGAATCAAATCTGCATAGTTAAGGATATGGTTATTAGAGCTGGGTCAGCCAATGGCCCCAGAAAACCTGCAGTTAGACCTAGGCATCCTGGTCCTGAGCTAGTGTTGTCTCAGAAGGTGGATCCAGTCCCAGAAAATGGACTCCAAAGTAGGCCCTCTCTCCTTTCTCCAGTCTTTTCCTTGGCTACCCTATGCCTCAACTGAGTATGGGAACACTCCTCCTGAATATGCAAACTTTAAATAGAAACAGAAACTTAAAGATGTTTTCATCCCTAAGCCATTCAGAGTTTTACTTCCCCACATATTTCCCTGGAATGAGGATTGCTGAAAGCAGGGTATATTTCACTTGTCATGCCCAGGGCCATCTTGATCATCAGTTGTGCCCTGACCAGAGAGAAACTTGGTGGGAACACAGACATGGACTTTGGTCCTTCAGTGAGATCTTTGAGAGGATTCTAGCCCGTCCTGGAGTGTATAAACAAGCTACTGATTGAGGAATCTTCTTCCTCTCTGAAGACTTGAGTTCACATGGTTAAAGTTTTAAGCTCACTTTTTATGAGTGAAAATGTTTTACATATATGAAAGAAGAAACCTCTCGGGGCTGGGGATTTAGCTCAGCGGCAAAGCGCCTGCCTGGCAAGTGCAAGGTCATGAGTTCAATTCCCGGTACTGGAAGAAAAGACAAAAAAAGAAACCAAAAAGAAGAAGCTTCTCTAACTCAATTCCCATAAAAATTATGTGGGAATCTCTCTCCTAGTCTCCCTCTTCTCTTACCCTTCAATGGCTATGCCCTTGTAACATTGTATAGACCAAGATTTTTTTCCTTTGGACCCAAAATTATTAACTGAATTCAGCTAAAGTTTTTAAAAAATAGGGATTTTTAATCCCCTTCTGTAGATTAAAATGATGGCAGAAAATTAATGTTCTCTAGAAATTTTTTCCTTTCAGAAACTGTTCCTAAAGAAATAAGACATAAAGTCACCAGGAAGATATCTGTCATACCATTGTCTATGAAAATAAGAGTTGCAAAAGACCCTGGAATTTCAACTTTAGTAAAATACTTTTCTAATTATCTATGTTTTCAATGGAATAGTACTTATCCATTCAAAATATTTATAAAGGCTAATGACATAGTCAACTTTTATATAATATAATGCTAAGCCAAAAAAACTGATATAGGCTTGAATCCGTATCAGCTTAACTCTGTAAAACACTTATGAATGGAGGGGAAAACGCTAATATGAGCCTGAAGTATCTGGTTGAATTATGGGTGATTTGTTTCTCCTGAGTGATATTCTTCTGTACATGTCAGTGCTCCATATTGATCAAATGTCACTTTTCTAATCGGAAAAAAGCAGTAAGTAACATCAGAAAGCATGCAGGAGAGTGTACAACTCCTGCTCCTCAGGGTTCATCAATGCATTTGACCTGGATCAGTCAATAGGTTTTAATCCATACATGTCCCTACCCAGGCATACATGCCTCACTGTGGACACATGTCCTGTGGCTTCTCCCACCCTTTCCCAGAAGAGAGGCTGTCAAGAATTTGACTCACCTGTACCCTTATATACCGTGTTACCTGGCCCTAAATCCCTGCCACACTAAATTGGAGTCCTAGCTGTATGTGATAACTCACATTCTTGGTGTCCATGCCCACCACTGCATGCATATGTGCTTGTGGTTGGGGACACGCATGGTGTGAGGGCTGTGATCAGTGTTTTCCATAGTGGTGGCCACCATCCCACGCAACTTTTGTTTCATGAGCCTAGCACAATCCTAGGTGTTCCACATGAGTTAATCCCCGTGAGCCACCCAACTCTGGAAGGTAGCACTTGTTCCTACGCCTTCCCTAGGAGAAGTGAAATGATGTGAACATTGTCAAGCTGCTGGTGAAAATCTGGCCTTTTCACCCTCCAAATACTGCCCATTTTATTCATTGAAATTTAAAATTAGAAATAAATTTGAGAAATTCATTCAAGGGAAAAAAAAAAATAAACAAATTAAAGGCTTTAGCTAAATATCCTGGCATTCTGCAAACCTCACATATTGAAAACTCCAGTCACTGTATCCCAGAGCAGCTACCCAGAGCATCCTTGCTCTGACCGGGAACTTCATCTTGGCCCTGCAGCCACTTGAGCCCCACTCATAACACGCTGTCCTCCTCTATTGGCAGCCATTCAGGCAAATAAGTCTGGTGGATTCAACTGCCATCGTGCCCAACTGCCCCGCCACTGCTCTCCCAAGCAGACACTTTCTAACTCAGTGCTTTCCAATATCATTCACGTCGTGGTGCCACAGAAAATGCTAATCGCAGTTGAGTGGCACATGAGTTAATGGATGCAGTGGTGTCTGCAGGCACCACTTTCTCCAGAGAGTCTGGCCACCTTGCCCCTCACAGATCTGCTGGGCTGGGGGACCTTGCCCTGGACGCTCCCCTGCCCATTGGGAAGCCCGGCTGCACCCGTCTCTCTGCCCGTGGCTGCTCCAGTATCACCCCCACCCCATGGCCAGAGCTGTCCTCCTTTATGGGTGGTGTTTAGTGGGAACATCCGGGTACACCTCTAGTGAACACATAAAGGTGGCCCACAGCGAAGCCAGGAGAAGTCCCTGGTTGCACAAGCTTCTAGTCGTGACCCGCCAGCCTGGTGGCAGAAAAGAACCTGGATGTCTGGATTTGAATTTGTTATGGTTTGTGTCTGGGTGTCCCCCAAAGCCTCATGCGGCCCTGGGGCTGGCTTTTAGAGTTTGATTGATTATGGGTGTGAGAGCTACACCCACCCTGGGGTGGATAGTTTGCATATGTAAGGGAGAGAAAGAGGGTGCTTCTGGCCATTTCCTCCCTTGTGAGTGCTTGTTGCTTTGCTGTGTTCTGCCGCCATGAGCTGTAGCTCTCTGCCATGTGCCAGTCTGCCTTGTAATCTGCCAAGTATGGACTGAAACCTCCACAAACTGTAAGCGAAATAAACCTTTCCTTCCTTAATTTTGGGCATCAGGTATTTTGTCCCAGCAACGAGAGGAAAGTAACCAAGACAGAATTCTTCCTTTACCTTGTGCTACTTGCTCCAGGCACTCAAGAGCTCCATGCCTAAGATTCCTGGTTTACAAAATAGTGTCCCCTTCATTAGAGTATCATGAAAATCAAATAAATCTAAAGTGCCTCATAGTATGTACATGTCATGACCATGGATAAGAGTTAGCAGTTATGATTATCAGTCCGTGTTTCCCACCTATCCAACATCCGCCACTCTTTGCAAGAAACCCAGTCTTCCCAGACATAACGTGGCCATCTGTGCCCACTGCCGTCCACGCCCATGATGCTCCCAGACCTTACCTCCCTCTGCCTTTAATTCTAAGCCAGATCAAGTCTCACCTCCTTTCAGTGACTTCTCCTGCCTTTACACTCCAATCACACTTATTTTCAAAGTCATTTGTTTGGCACTTAATCTACTGTATTGTTATCTGTCTCTGTTATAAACATGCCCTGTCTTCCCAGAGAGATGAAAAGCTCCCCGCACTCCATCTCCTGCCTGCAGTAGGGACCCTGTAAGTGTTTGCTGATGGTAATGATGATGACCAGGGAAGAATAAATCTGTTAAGCGTGTTATTTGCTGCAGCCAATAAAAAAAGAAGCCCCATCTAACAGCTTTAATTCACTTGGGAGATGAACACAAGGTAGAAGGGAAGTATCTCTCCATTTGAATAATATTTTACTTGAGTGGGTAAATATTAACATTCTCCTTACCATCATTCAGGGCTCCTCCTCTGCTATGATTTGAAAGGAATAAATATATCATTTGAATTTTATTCGTCAAGAATATTGCCACGATTGTTCATGGGCATTCACCATATATAAATTTAAAGTTCTAGCTCATCTTTTTGTCCCCTCAAAGCAAACAATTTCTATTACCATTAAGTGAAGCGCTTAGTGGAATTTTAAATCAAACTTACAAAGCCAAAAGAGCCAGAAAAGAGAAAAGTAATGAAAACAATGCTGACTTTAGTAGAGCTGGAGAACACAAAGGGGCCACTGGCAGAGACAAATCGGGAAGGGAAGAGCCAGGATTTCCACGATGTCCACCTCCTCAGAGCTCTGGCACCCAGGCTCAGGCCCCTCTTTCGTTTCTTTTTGTCTTTTTTTTCCCCAGTACCAGGAATCGAACTCACGACCTTGTGCTTGCCAGGCAGGCGCTGTGCCCACTGAGCTAAATCCCCAGCCCCTCCTCTTTTGTGTCTTTGTGGGCTCAGATTCACACACAGCACCCAGCCCGTGCTTGGGGATTGAGGACAGTTGTCTATGTGAAACATGAACTCTGCACCTGTAACAAGAAGCCCATTTTTCAGACCTTGAGGAAAGCTGTACTTTGCCTATAAACACAGTAAGTGAAGAAGTGAAAAAAATGAATACGTGAAGGCTGAACCAATGCAGCTGTAGACTTAAGAACACTGACCACTTTTAGATACTGTCCGAGCAACAGGAGTAAAAACTTAGGACAGGCAACCTGCTTGTGGTGTGTGTGGCCAAACATTTGCCTAATCATCTCCTTCACTTGCAAACAGAGATTATTCTTTGTGCAATGAGAATAAAAGGAAAAGAATCAGGAAATGTTGAGTGGTGGAAAGACAAGCAGCTCAGAAAGAGAAAGCCACATCTTCCAAGGCCCCAAGGTGGGAGGAGAACAGGAATTTCCAGGAATCAGAGAAGTCAAGTTCTCTTGGATGTAAAAAGAGCGAGAAGAAAAGCCTGATTTGAAAATAAAGTAGCAAACAGAACTCAAGCAGGCAAGGCATGATGAGCTGTATTAAGAACAGATGTCTTCATCCTGGGCACAGTCGGAAGACTTTGAAAGATTTTAAATGAACCAGTGAAATAATCAATTACGCTTTTTTTTTTTTTTTTTTTTTTTTTTTTGTCCTTTTGAGATAGGGTCTCGCTATGCAGTTCAGGCTGGCCTTGAGCTCACTTTGTAGCCCAGGTTGGCCTCGAACTCACAGTGATCCTCCTGCCTGAGCCTCCCAGTTATGCATTTTTAAAGGATCCCTCTGGGGGCGCTGGGGATTTAGCTCAGCAGCACAGCACCTGCCTGGCAAGCGCAAGGTCATGTGTTCGATTCCCGGTACCAGAAAAAAAAACCAAAATAATAAAAATTTTAAAAAAATTAAAAGATCCCTCTGTCTGCTTTGAAAAAAAAAAAAAAAAAAAAACATTGGGAGTGAAGAAAATATAGAAACAAAGGAACCATCCATGAAGTTATTCAACACTCACTAAGCATCTACTGTCTATCAATTAGGCGCTATTCCTGCCGCTGGGTATAAAGGAATACCATAAGGTATTAGGAATATCATAAGGAATAGAAACAAAACATTCTTGCCCTCATGGAGCTTACAGTTAAGCAAGAAAGGACGGTCGGGCAAATTAACTAAACACAATCTACAGTATGATGTATGGTGAGAACTATTGTGTGGAAAATATAGTCAGAAAGAGGAAGGCTTGGCCAAAAAAATGGAATGGGTAATTTCCAGTTTTTTTATGAAGTCACAGAAATGATCACTGAGACGATAACATGAAAGCAGATATCTAAAGGTATGAAAGTGATCCATGCAGATAACCAGCAAGGGCTGGCTTTAGCTCAGTGGCACAGTGCTGCCTGGCAAGCATGAGGTCCTGAGTTCGAGTCCTGGTACCCCCAAAAAAAGAAAAAGCTAAAGTGCTAAGATAAAACTCAGAACTAGTGAAGGCTTATTGAATTTTGTGCAGAAAGCAAAAATAGAAACTGCAATTCATTCTTGATTTTCTTCACAAATGTTTTGCTGAAACCCAGGAAGGTGGTGCTACATTTTAAATGGCGTGTATGATACTAAGAGGCCTAAATAAGGAGGCAACATTTAGAAAGCATTGCCTTTATTTATGTCTGACTGCACAGCGTCTGGCAGGAGAGGCTGTCAAGACGTTCGGTTATTCCTGGATGGTGGGATTGCAAGTGGACTTCCTTTCCTTTCCTCTTTTCTTTTTGTTTATTTCTCAGTTGTGATCATCTTGTTTTAGCCCATAGCTTAAGTATCAGAATTACCCATTTTGTTTTGCCAGAAGGAAAGTGAAAGAAACAGCAGAGAATCCATTAGGTGATTTACAATTGGTCAAACTCTTGCTAGATTGCTGCCTCTATTTTTTAAAGCTCCGAGCTGTCAAACACTATTAACAGCCCCAAAATCCCAATTTGAGTAAAATATGAGATAAAAATGGATGACTTTCAAAAACCGTAAATAAGAAATAAAGCTATGGCTTCTACGTGAGTGGACTGAAAGCAAGACCTAGAACGTCCTGTTAGTCTTGTCTGATTATTAGTTGTCGTTGTTGAGAAGAACCGAGGAGAAAACAAAGAAAGTCGAGGAAGTAACTTGTCTTTGAGACAGAACCAGGGGACCTGGGGCACACAGCTTTGCCTTCAATTTTGGCTCACCCCTAACCCACAACGAAATTCATTACTTTGTTTTCTGGCCTCAGTGAGGCCACTCAAAACCCCAAGTACTTATTTTTGACAATTATGTTTATTTTTAACATTGCAAACTCATGATTCTTTTATATGCCAAATATCACACTTTATTACTGATAGAATGATCCCATCTCTGCGCGCTGCATTTATTTTTTATTTCACACAGTACCGTGTGGAGTCCAAAAGGACCTCTGCAGTCCTATACCACCGATGTCCTCATTCTGTTTCCAGGCAAGGTCTCAGCTTGGAACATTTATACCTTTTGCTGTTTCAACTTTGAGACCATGGTGTGTGAAGTTCATGGTTGGCAGGTTGTGAATCCATGCGGGCCTGTTGCTGTTAACCTCAACTCAAAACTCTTCTGCTCCCAATGGACGGAGGAGGAGGAGGCAGAGTTTAAGGCATGCCAAGCTGCAGGAGTGGAGGATGTGAGACTGGGAGGAAAAGAGGGAGCAGAGAAATCACGGGGTCTCTTTCCTTTTCTCGTGTAGGAAACTTACAGATTCGGTACAACCTGGGAGGCACCAAAGAGCCATACAATATCGATGTAGACCATAGGAACATGGCCAACGGGCAGCCCCACAGCGTCAACATCACCCGTCATGAGAAGGTCATCATTCTCAAGGTATGCACACTGCACACATCATGCACACATGCAAGAATAATGTAAGGTTAGAGTCTCTATGCACTGTGATGGTTGGCCATTGGTTTTCTTGAAGGCATAGGGACAGGCAGATGAAAGAGCACATATATTTTATACTACAAGTGCTTAAGTAGTGGAGCAAAAATATATATGAGGCATCACTGAAAAATACAGCGAATGTTTAAATTTTTAAAGTGCATTACAGTGAAAGACACATTGTCATTATTCCCCTTCAAAACAGTCCCCCTCACTTCGAACACAATTATCCCATCATTCTTGCCACTTTCTGAAACAGCTCTGAAAGTTCCCTTTGTAAGTGTCCTTAGCTGCACTGCGTGGCTGCTTCAGCATCCTGAATTGATTCAAAACCTTTACCTCTCATGGACACCTTGACTCTGGGGAAGAGCCGGGAGGTGCACAGTGCCATATCTGCTGAATAAGGCAGATGAGGACACACAGCCGTGTTTTTACAACTCTGCCTTTCTATCGGATGGCATGTGGCAACCACATTTACCATATTTTTGATCACGCCTCCTAAAGAAACAAAGGAGGACTTCCATAACTACTTCAGAAAGTGGCAGGAATGATGGGATAAGTGTGTTCAAGGTAAGAGGGGGTATTCTGAGGGGCATTAATAACAATGTGTCTTTGACCGTGATAAATGTTTTAGATTTAAATATTCGCCATATATTTTCATCACATCTTGTATACAGGTAGTCTTTGGTATTCACAGAGGATTGATTCTAGGACTCCCATGGATACTAAAATCCCAGGATAATCAAATCCCTCATAAAATACAGTGCAATATTTGTATGTAACCTACACATATCCTTCCAGGAACTTTAGATTATCTCCAAATTGCTGAAAACACTTAATGCAATGTACATTCTATGTAAATAGTTGTAATACTATATTGTTTAGGGAATAATGACAAGAAAAAAAATATCCATACATGCACAGTACAAATGCAAGTCTATTTTTTAGTATTTTCAATCTGCGGTTGGTTAAATCGATTCCAGGATACGGAGGGCTGATCTAATATTACAGGGAAAGCAACTGATGGTAAGGAAATCGGAGAGCGGCAGAATAAATATTTACCCAGCGCATCCATTGTGGCTTTCGTACTTTTAGACGGCTCCATCATTTTAGTATCTATCAGGCTTGCCCTTTCCTCCACTGCTCCATCTTTCCCGACCACACTCGGATGTCTGCAGCTCATCACGTTTCCCAACATGGTTTCTTTTGGCTCCTCTGACCTACTTCTTCCATGACTCCAACACAATATAAATAACTATATATTTTTTCTCTGCAAAAGCTCTGCCTTAAAAATCCTCCAAACAGTCTTTTCCAGAATCTCAGGCAAGGCTGTCGGGTTTTAGCACACAAAGGGACGATTTTAGTATGACATTCAAGTTTTATTTCAGGTTCATTTACCGCTCCAGCCCCCACCACTGACTTTTACAATAGAGAAACCAGCTTGGGAGACACCATGAATAAAACATAGCATGAAGAGGTCTCCCCGGGAACCAAGCCAGAAGATCAAGGAGGGAGCTGTCACTGTTCTCTCTGGAAGGAGCTCCAAATAGATACCTGTCAGGACAAGGAACAGCAGGACGATGCTGCTCTGTCAGTAGAGTGCGGTGTCATTGGGCAGGAGCCCTGCAGCCCCTTCAACCTTATTCAGATGCCTGATTGCTGCAGGAAGTTTGCATTGCAAAGAGAAGGCAGAAGTCCTGTCTCTTTTGAGAGCTGGTGGGTGTCAAATTCATAACTTGATCCAGAGTTTGTGTGTGGTCTTTAGCAATAAATGCTAGGGGGTATTTTAAAGAGAGGTCTTCCCTATGAAAATAACAATATGCTGTTACAGCTTGTACAGCATCTCTTGACCGTGGACTAGATAAGGTTATTTCGTAGCGCCGGCAGGGGTCCCTGAGCCTAGCACAATGCCCGCCATACCTTGGGTACCACACATGGTTTATTGCACAAATCAAGCTCATCTTTACCCATGGTTCAAATGTTCTTCCGAAAAGCCACAGTCCAGGAGACGGATGGTCTTATGCCATTTTAGGGACAACGTGCTCATCGGCATTCAGTTAGAATGAAACCACCCGATCTGTCAGTGCCTTTAAGGAAAGTGACCTATCTTGCCATTTCACCATTGCAAAAGATTATTAAAAGTTAAAAGACACACACGATTAGCATTGAAGACAGAATGAAAGAGATGCACCACAGCCACAGACTTCTTCGGGGTTACCCGTCACCCTCTGCCACACGGGATTCACGATTGGGCCAGGTGGAGGGGGCAGTTTAGGCCTTCTGAGGGACAGAAAGCCAGAGATCACATTGTCCAAGAAGCCAGAGAACCGCAGAAAAGCCAGCAGCCTGGGAAAGGGGGCAGGGTGCAGTCTGATTCTTGCTCAGGATTCTTTTGGCTGCAAATAACAAAAAGTAAAAGATGAGAAACTACTTGTTAGGGAAAATGTCTAGGGTAGGTCGTAGGTTTTCAGAAATAGAAAAATAGAGCTTGGACAGAGAATCCTGAGAACACAGAAGATTAAATCTATGGATTAGAGTACCATTGGGCCAGTCTCTTTATCTCTCTCCTCCTTCCCTAACTCCCTCCCTTTCATGGGGCCCACTGCACTCTTCCTCCTCTGCCTGCTTCCCTACCTCTCTCAGGCCTGGGCTAACGACTTCTTACTGCAAGCTCCATCTTTACATACCACAGGTCACAGTTGCCACAGTGCTGGGTCATGCCTTCCCTAGTTTTTTTTCTTTCCTTTTCTTTTCTTTTTTTTTTTTTTTTTCTTTTTTTTCCTTTTGAGACAGAGTTTCATCGTGTAGTTCAGGCTGTCCTAAACTCACTAGGTAGCCCAGGCTGGCCCCAAATTTGCAATCCTCCTGATTCTGCCTCCTGAGTGCTAGGATTGCAGGGGTGAGTCATTGATTTTCATTTTAAAATCCCAAAGAATTGGTGAGAGCCTGTCCTGGGTCGTGTACTCATGCTTGGGTCATGTACTCATGCTGTTAGAAGGAAAGGGGAACCGTAACCAACAGTCCATATTCAGATCCTACAATTAAAGTGGAGAGTTTGGGGAATCTTCTCCAAGAGAACAGATATGAGTCCCATGGGCGGAGGTGGGATGGTGAGTATGGAAACTGCGTGCATCATGCTCTGAGTTGGGGAAGACAGACCTGGGAAGCCCTCTGTAATAGTCAGCTTTCCTATTGCTGGGACACAACGCCTGACCCCAAAAGGAGGAGAGACTTAACTTAGCTCACACTTTCAAGGAGATTCAGCTCATGACTGTCTGGCTCCAAGCAAGAAAATCATGGCAGAAAGGGGTGGCAGAGTGAAGATGGCATCCAGGAAGCAGAGCAGGGGAAGAGTGTCAAAGAGGAACAGACCAGAGCCCAAATCTAATGCCCAAAGCCATGCCTCCGTGACCCACCCAGATGCACCCAGGAGCTGCCGTACTAACCTGCTAGGCATTGCTTAATCCAATGCAGTTGCCCTAACAGGATCAAGTCACATCCTCCAAACAGCGAGGAACTCTGTAAGAACTGAGCCTCCAGTTGCTGGGAAGCCCGGCCTTCCTCCATCTTCTACAGCCGGTGCCACTGCACCAAGGTCCCTGGGCGTGGCTAAAAAGGAAGCGCAAGTGCGGTGGGAAAGACTTCCTGTGTAGGGAACCCCGGGCCAGGCGATGGTCTTCTCCACAGCCCTGCTGTATCCTAGAACTGAAGGAGAAAAAGGTGAAGGTGGTAGAGGAAAATAAGACAATGCTCCTCCTCATGCAAATGTGGGTCCCAGGGTTCCCGCCCCACACCCATTGCCCTGCTTTCTCTCTGCCGGGGGAAGATGTGCAGAATTTGGCAGTAATTCCGAAAATTCCTTCAGAACGCCGAAACACACTCGAATTTTCTTTTTTAAAACAATCTACAAATCCATCTTGAGAACTTCTACAGCCTCAACAACGTGTGGGAAGAGATATAAGAAAACATTAGTAGTAATTATTTCTGGGTGAAGGGACTAGGAACGATTCTGTTTCCATTAGAGTTTTCTATATTTCCTCATTTTCCAGGAGAAGCACGTGTTGCCTTTTTATAATTGAACAAAAACATAAAATGCACATAGATCCTCAGTCACTTCTGATGCCCCCCCCTCGCACTCATATTGGCAAAAATACTTAAATAATTTCCAATGGAAATTTACTTATATCCAACAAACAAAAATAAGGCTACTTCAGAGTTGAATTTGACGGTGCTATGGAATTCAGGTGAACTTTTATGCACTTATAAATGCTCAGACGTCATATAATTGAGATGATGTTTATCAGTGTTTGTGGTGTTTTTAAAATCAGGCTTGCTTTCCCAGCTGGGTCTGGCGCAAGCTAACATCAAATTAATTTACATTCCCTGAACGCACCATCTGAAACGGTGCTGAGCACTTGAGGGAAATTGACCTTGAATGAAATATTTGCTGCCAAAAAATAAAGTGTCCAATCTCCACAAAGATAATGAAGAGCTGGTGCCCCCCTGTATCACACACCAAAGTGAGTGAGGACCCAGGACGACCCTCAAGTGGCGTCATTTATGAAGCTCACTGTGGCATCAGGGATCATAGCTTAAGGCTGGATGCCAGTGCAAATGTAAACAAACCTCAAGCAGCAGAGAGGACCTGAGCAAATCCTGCATGCAGTGGGAGATCGGGCCAATTAGCACGGGTCCACAGGGGAATGTTACGGCCAGCAACGACTGTGTCTTGTGTGACTTATCCTTACCGCTTTCTTTTCTCCCTTCCTGCCATCCATGGTGTGTTCCTCCCTATTTCTTTCTTTTCTTTCTTCCCAACTACATTGTACAAGAGATCTAAGAGGTTGCAGAGAATGAAAGAGATATGTCTTAGTCACCCTCCTCATCATTGATACAAAATACCTGACCCCCCAATTTAAAGCAGAACAAGTTTATTTTGATTCATG